CCAGCCCCGTTGCCCTCCTCAGGATGTGCTCAAGCGTCTCAAGGTCCTTCCCAAACTGAGGGTCCAGAACTGGACACAGCACTCAAGGTGTGGCCTCAGCAGTGCCCAGTACAAGGGAAGGATGACCTCCCTGCTCCTGCTGGCCACACTGCTCCTGCTGGCCACACACTTCCTTCTTGGCCACCAGGGCACACTGCTGGCTCGTGTTCAGCTGCTGTCACCAGCACCCCCAGGTCCCTTTCTGCCTGGGCACTGTCCAGCCACACCATCCCCAGCCTGTAACACTGCAGGGGGTTATTGTGGCCAAAATGCAGGGCTCGGCACCGGGACCTGTTAAACTTCATCTTATTGGACTCTGCCCATCCATCCAAACATTCCAGGTCTCTCTGCAGAGCCATCCTACCTTCCAACAGATCGACACACTCCCAGCTTAGTGTCATCTGCAAATTTACCAGTGAAAGACTCAATCCCCTCATCCAACGTCAATAAAAATATTGAACAGAGCTGGCCACAGCACAGAGCCCTGAGGACGCCACTGGTGCCTGGCCCCAGCTGGATGCAGCACCACTCACCAGCACTCTCTGGGCCCAACCATCCAGCCAGTTCTGAGCCCAGCACAGAGCGCTCCTGCCCAAGCCATGGGCTGCTAGCTTTTCCAGGAGTGTGCTGTGGGAGACAGTGTCAAAGGCCTTGCTGAAGTCTAGGTACACAACACTCTTAGCCTTTCCTGCATCCACCAGATGGGTCACTTTGGCCATAAAAGGAGATCAGGTTGGTCAAACACAACCCACCCCTCCTAAACCCATGCTGAGTGGGTCTGATACCCTGGACATCCTCTAAGTGCTGTGTGATGGCACTCAGTATAAACTGTTCCATAACCTTACTGGGTACTGAGGTCAGGCTAACTGGCCTATAATTACCATGATCCTCCTTCCCAGCCTTTTTATGAATGGGTGTCACATTGGCCAGCTTCCAGTCCTCTGGAACCTCACCAGTGAGCCAGGACTGTTGGTAAATTATGGAAAGCAGTTTCTCAAGCTCATCAGCCAGCTCATCACCCTGGGATGGATCCCATCTGGTCCCATGGATTTATGAACATCCAAGAGGCTCAGCAGTTCTCTGACTGCCTCGTCCAGGATAATAGGGAGACCATTCTGCTCCCTGACACCATCTACCAACCTAGGAGGACAGTTGTCTGGACAAGCCATCTTCCCACTAAAAACTGAGAAAAAGACGGCATTAAGCACTTCTCCTCATTCCCAGTTAAAAAGTTCCCTCCCATTGAATAGAGAACTGAGGATGGTCTTACCCTTCCTTTTGCCATTAATATATTTGTAAAATAATTTTATATTATCCTTTACAAAAGTTGCCAAATTAAGTTCCAACCAAGTTTTGGCCTCTCTAATTTTTTCCTATATGCCCTAGCAACCCCCTTAAATATTTCCTGAGACATCTGATCCTCCTTCCAAAGATGATACATCTTCTTTTTATTCCTAAGTTCCTTCAAAACCTCCTTGCCTATCCAGGCTGGATGTTTGCCTTGTCAGCTCATCTTTTGGCACACAGGGACAGTGTGTTCCTGTGCCCTCAAGATCTCTGGTTTAAAGCACACCCACCTTTCCTGAACACCTTTGTTTTTTAGGGTTGCTTCCCAAGGAACTCTCTGAATAAGGACCTAAATAGGCCAAAGTCTGCCCTCTGGAAGTCCAGTGTAAAAGTCTTATTGATGTTCCTCCTGATTTCACCAAGTATCAAGAACTCCAACCACCACAGCTCCCACCAGCCCATCTCTACTTGCAAACAAAAGATCTAACACAGTCCCTCCCCTGGTGGGCTCACTCACCAGCTGTGACAAAAAGTTGTCATCCACACACTCTAAGAACTTCCTGGACTGCCTCTTTTCTGCTGTGTTAAGTTCCCAGCAGATGTCCTGCAGGTTAAAGTCACCTACAAGAAGAACAAGGACTGATGATCCTGGTGATGCTGAAGAAAGGGAGGTTTTAAAGAGAGCAGTGTCACTGCTGATGGAGAGATCCCAGGAAAACACTGCAGTATTCCAGCTGTACACACAGCAAGTGTGGTTTTTCATGGTAAATAACAGGAAGGGGTACTGCAGACATGTCAATAAACTTGGATATTCACTTGGGGGTAAATACTTGGAACAACAATGTAGTAGTTGCAAGCTCAGCAGAAAAATACGTGTCTTACTACAATACTTGGGCAACACTGCCTTAAGTCCTTATAACAACCTGAAAAGAAATAGAGATTGCTACTGGAAAAACATCAGTCACCTTTCACCCCACCTTTGAAAAGAAGTGCTGTTATGCTTTTTTTTACTTTATGCTAAAAACTTCTCTCCCCTGAACTGAGAAAGTGACCTCTTCTCAAAGACACTGCACTCACTTTAAACCTGAGGGTTATAGTCTTCTGTCAATCACTTCTTCCATCACTAGAGCAATGAATTTCTACAATAACCTTGTACTTGAGCCAATCCTTTGTCTGGGTTTCACAAGATTGCATTTTATCCCAGCAGTTTCTTGAGTCATCATGGTGTATCTAGTATCCAGAAGAGATTCTGTGCTTTATATTTCCTTGGCTGAGGGCACAAAGAACCTGAAGTTCTGCAGAGCCCCAGCTCCCACACAAGGCTTGTTACAAACCAACCAGCTGAACAAAACACCCTTTGCCATTACCAGTATAGCAGTAAACCATGAATATTCATTAATTACTGCCCTGGTTTTATAAATTAACTCCATCACAGCTTTTCCATGTAGTCTTGCATATGTGCTCTTCACTTCTGTCCCTTCTAGCTATATTCTGCAAATAGCTATCCCAAAAGCTCTGGTGGTTTGAGCAAACAGGCTGTCAGCATTAACCTGATGAAAGAGTGCATTGATTCAGGAGAAGGGACGTTTGCTCCAGCACATGGTGCTGTCTGCTGACACTTGAAGCATGGAGCTACAGGGGAAACCCACCCAAAAACAGTCACAGAAAAGACAAACAGGTTCTGGTTCACATTTGCATGGGAGTTGAGCTGGGACCCCAGCCTCATATGGAAGTGCTTCCAGGACAAGGATCGGGAAGGTGTTGCTCCCTCCCACTCTCTCTCTCTGTGGGAAGATGTGGCTCCTGCAGAGAGCAAGAGGTCCTTTGTGTGGAGCTGTTGTTTGACACTGCCACTTGAACTGTGATGCTAGAATCATAGAATGGTTTGGGTTGGAAAATGATCTCATTCCAACCCCTCCCCACCATAAGCAGGGACACCTTCCCAAAGACTGGTTGCTCTGACAGCCCCATCCAACCTGGCCTTGAACACTTCTAGGGATGGGGCATCCAGAACTTCTCTGGGCAAGCAGTTCCAGGGTCTCACCACCCTCACAGTAAAGAATTTCTTTCGAATCTCTAAATGAAACCTCTTTCAGTTTGAAGCCCTTATCCCTTGTCCTATCACTTTATGTTGTTGTAACAAGTCCTTACAAAAAGGACGAGCAGAGATGCCTGAGCTTTATCTCCGAGGTGCTGGGGGATGAAGGGCAGCAGGGGAAATGCTTTGAGTGCAGATTCAAGTGATTTTTTTTTTCAGAAGAGGAAAGATGTGTGGGGAAAACAGGAGTGATTTCCTGAAGCAGCATTCAGGCTGGGGCTGGGACACTGCTGAGGGACCAGCCCGCTCTGGTGATTCTTCTGCATTTTACAGTGAGTGGTGAAGCCAGCCATGGGGTCTGGTCCCACCCCCAAGATCTGCTGTGCCTGTCTCTGTTCCACATCTCATCACAGGGAGTTGCCACTGCACAGCTCCCCCACCACACCCTCGTGGCTATGTATACATATACACATACATATTCAATGTACATATTTATATACAACTGCAATATATAGAACGTGCACTCTCTCTGTGTGTGTGTGTGTGTGTGTGTATTCATCTGCAACTGATCTGGAACCAATCCTTCTATCACAGAGCCAAGGCCCCAGCACCTGCCAGATTTCTCACAAGTGGTTTACAGAGGGAGCCTGGCTCTCCCTTGCTCTCTGCTGGCACAGGTTCAGCAGGAGGTGAGATGCTCATTATGGTCTCAGGGCTGTGGGTCTCTGCTGTGAGGGAAGAGAGAGGTTTGTGTCTTAGGATGGGTAAGGAATTCATTAGGAATTCATCTGGGGTGTTTCTGGCATCTGCAGGGGAACGAACTGATAGAAGATTAATTCAACAAGGGAAGGTTCAAGTCCAAATTAGGAAAAGGCAGGAGTAAGTTTAGGCACCATTAGAGTCATGGAACTGCTGAGCAAGAGCTCTTAGTTTGTGAGCTTGGCTTTTGGTCCCTGAGTACTTACGACAAACTAAAACAGCCCATATGTAGAAAAAAAAATTCCAAATTATTTTTTAAAGCTAATCAGCTAAAATGCATTGTGATTGTCTGTGGGTTTGGGCAGTGAGGGGAAGGGAGACAGAGAAAACCTTGAACTAAGTCACCTTTGGTTGATTCTGTTTAGTTTTTCCATCAGGACAATCTCTCCATTTCCATGCACTGTTACAAGGATCTGACAAACCGGGTTTATATCGAGAGTGATGTGAAATGACACGCTACAGCCATTTTTAATTTATCTTTTTTTAAACTCTCCTGTCAGAAAAGCCTGCATAAACCGCTGAAAGGTCTTTACCAGTCTCACCGGATCGATTTTGTGTAACTCCAATAAAAAAGTGCTTCTGGGAAGTGGCCGGGCACATGGGTGGGTGCCTGGTCCTGCCCGTGGGAATGTCGCCTCGCTCCGAGCGCGGAGCCCCGCGGCATCCCCGGGCTGCCGGTGCCCCTTCCCTTTCCCCTTCCCTTCCCTTCCCTTCCCCCTTCCCTTCCCTTCCCTTCCCTTCCCTTCCCTTCCCTTCCCTTCTCTCGGCTCCTCTCCTCCGTCCCGCCCCCATCTCCATCGTCTCCTCCCGCACAGGTGGCACTGCTCTCCTCTCCTCTCCTCTGCTCTGCTCTGCTCTGCTCTTCCTCCCGCTGCGGGCCGCCCGTGCCGCGATGCCGCCGCCGTGTCCCCGCGGGGCCCTGCCCGGAGCCTCCCTCCTCCTCCTCCTCTTCCTCCTCCTCCCGCTGCTCTGCGCGGCCCCCGGTGAGTGAGCGCGGCGTGCGGGACACGGGGAAAGCGTAACCCGGCACGGCCTGGGGAGCGGGAGAAGCCTTCCCCTGGCGTCCCGCGTGGGGAGAGCCTTCGGACGCTCCCAGCCTTGCCCCGCATCTTTTTAAAAAGGCGCTTCTTTACCGGTGACTGAAGCGTTTGGGAACAGCCGAGCGCTTGCGGGTCTCCCGTTGCGCTGGCAGCCTGGGGACCAGCAGGATGACTGCTTCCATGTGCTTTGGGGCAGGATGCCAAGGCATTTTGTAGAGCTCTGATGGTTAGCACAGCCCTCACCCAGTGACCAGGGGCTTTCAGCGTTATCGTGCTGCTCTGGGTGCTGGTACTGGCACCAGCTCCTGTTTTCTGATGAAAAATATAATAATTTACTTGGTGAAGAAGGCCATTATAGGGTTTCCTTTGCCAAGAGAGCTGGGGAGAAGATCCTGGAGGGTCAGAAACTTCCCTGCAGTGTATATTGCATTCAAATGTGGAAACAGGAAAAAAAAGAGCAAGTTTCTGTTTTGCCTCTTGAACCAGAGCTATGACAAAAATACTTCTGGCAGTTTTTGAGAAATAGTCTTTGGTGGTTGTTGTTGTTTTTTCCTTCTCAGTATATGTATGTGTTTTATTTTTATTTGTCTAGATGTTTCAAGGGGAAATAAGCTTAAACTGATGCTTCAGAAACGAGAAGGTAAGTAAAGAGACAGCAAAGTGCTTTCCTCTGTTTTTCCTTGGAGTCAGCTGCTTACAGTGGCAACTGTCGATGTCCCTGTACCTCCAGTTCCAGGAGAGCAGGAGATCCTCCTGCTCAGGCAGAGCCTCTGCCTGCATGCCTGTTTGGGATGTTGGGCTGGAGGCTCTGCTCTCCCTCTAAAATCCAGGGTTCCCAGCCTCAAGCATGCTGCCTTCTGCTCTGCACAGAGCACAGCACCAGCCTTTTCCAATGTATGCATGGTAGACGTGGCATTTATCTATTTGGGGCAGTCACAAACTTTTCCAAGGAATGCATGGAAATACTGCTGGCTCAGGCACAGAGAAGAATATGTACAAACCTGGCTTGCCTCTGATGCCTTGACTTGTTCTTTTTGTCTTCTTGGCCCCACGTATGCTTCCTTTTTGGAAGATTGCTCTCTTACAGGATAGATGATGGCCAAAGGCCCAGCAGTCAGAAGCATGGGATGGCTCACTGGTTGAGGGAAGGTGGTGGAAACGATGCCAACTGTGAAAAAGCTGCTCCACAGCAGACGAAACATCCCAGAAGTTTTGGCCACCTCCCTTCAGCCTGCTCTATGGCTGAAGCAAAGAATTTATACCCCCACAGAGGGGACTTCAACTTCCTGCCAGGCTTTCTAATTTTGTTCTGGGGTTTTTTTCTGGCATCACTCCACACCTCTTGCCAGAACTAAAATATATATCCCACCCACCTCTGTTTTCCTTGTGTGTGGGTTCCTTGTGGTACCATTCTGCAGGGCTTTTGGGAAGATAGGTGTGACCCTCCTGCACCACAGCAGTGGCCACTTGTTTGTTCAGGTCCCCTGGGGAGAGGGACTGCCTGGGGAGGGCTCTTGGGGCATGCAGAACACATGGCTTAGATCAGGAAGAACTGCAAAATTGATCCTGCAGGGAATATGCAGCCTCTTTAATTCCAGCCTTGCTCCACTTTTTTGCTTGGTTCCTAAAGTGAGCAGGCCAAGCACACGGTACTGCTTCCCTTGCTGGCAGTGTCCCTTGTGTGAGGGCTCATTCATGGCACATTTGCTTAGCTGTCCCCGCAGCAATAACTTAGCTGTCCCAGTTTAAGCTCATGGTGAGTTATCAGTTTCCAGCTCACCATTGCAGGACAGCCTACTGTTCCCACTTACTGCAACAACTCATCTATCACTTCTGTCTTCAGAATCTCCTTCTCTCTGCAGTCCTTTGCCTTCCTCTGTGAGTCTGCCCAGCTCCTGCTTCAGTGGTTTTCTTCACATCTCCACTTGACTTACTTGTCTACCCCAGTCTCTTCCCTCACATCCTCTGAAAATCCCATGCACACCCGTGTTCCTGATGTCTCCCTCATTGAAATGAACCATCTGAAGGCAAGACTTCTACTCCTACACACTTCTTGTTTCACAGCCAGATCAATACCATGTTTTATCATTTCTGTGTGTGGCCAGGGGCTGGCCAGTCACAGAATCATAGAACTGTTAGATTAGAAAAGATCTCTAAGTTTAAGTCCAACCATTTACCCAGCAGAGCCACACTCACCACTAAACCATGTCCCCAAAAAACCATGTGTCTTTTGAACACTTCCAGGGATGGAAATTCCCACCATTTCCCTGGGCAGTTTGTTCCAAAGCTTGACCGCTCTTTAAGTGAAGAACTTTCTCCTAACATCCAATCTAAACCTTCTGTGGCACAACTTGAGGCCATTTCCTCTCATCCATGTCTTTGGGAGATGCATCAATTCCTCTAGCACCCACAGCACGCTGTTCTCAGGCATGGAACAAGCCAGGTGGCACATCTGGGTCTGGCAGGTTGAGACCATTTCCCTCACATAGGCTGCTATGAAAACCTGATGGGCTTTTATTTCCAGGCATACGGGGCATTGAGTAGTACTCATCTAAATGCTACTTTTTTACACATCAGATTCAAAAAATCTATCTTTTTAAGTATTTCTCCCTTCACTCTAATATATCAGCAATGTTTCTCCAGCTTCCTTAGTCATTTTAACTGCACCTCTCTTCCTTAACCCAATTTCTGCGACTGTAGCACTTAGGGCCAGTCTCCTGCTCTCTCCTGAAAGCACAAACACACAGTGTATATGCTCGTTGAATTTAGGTGTTTTTATTTAAATTCCTCAGTTAGCTGCTGTGGTTGAGCTCAGAAATGCTTTTCAAGAATCCAGGAGAATGAGGGTAGCAGAGAAATCCTATTGCATCGGTGATTCCTGGGTTTATTACTGTTACTCTGCTACAGGCATTGCACTGGCAAGCACAAAGGTAATGGCATGATGTGAGAATCATTTTCTTACTTGCTGCAAGCATACACTTCAGGCTGACCAAAAATTTCCTGGCATGCCTTTTGTGGGGGGGATTAATTTCAGCCCCTGCTGCTGCGAAGCCTGAGGTGTCAGTGAAAGAAACAGCAGCCAAGGAGTTCCTGAGCAGCCTGAGACGCCAGAGGCGCCAGCTGTGGGACAGGAGCCAGCCCGACGTGCAGCAGTGGTACCAGCAGTTCCTGTACCTGGGCTTCGATGAGCAGGTCAGTGTCACAAATGGAGAGGCATCATAAAAATAGAGGGGGAATAGGCAGGCATAGAACAAGGAGAATTGGGCTTAAATGAAAAAAAAAAGAAGATATTTAGATTAGATATTAGGAATAAATTCTTTGCTATGAGGGTGGTGAGGCACTGGAACAAATTGCTCAGAGAAGTGGTTGATGCCCCATTCCTCTAAGTGTTGAAGGCCAGGTTTGATGGGGCGTTGAGCAACCTGGTCTAGTAGAAGGTGTCCCTGCCCAGAATTCTTCTTTGAAGTGGCAAATGTCACACAGAAATATAACCTCTGTTACGTGTTAGAGATTCTTGCATTATTGTATTAGTAGAAAAAAATTAAGGTTTTGTATGGAGTTCCTGCCTGCTATCAAACTTAAGCTTAATAAATTGCAACTGGACATATGAACAAAGTTTGCTTTGTGGAATAGGTGGCCAGACTCAAAGCAATCAATCGTATTTCAGGAAAGTAATTTCCTGTCAGCCTCAACCTGATCAGCTTTTAAACATGGTGAGAAATCCACACCAAGCTGGCTGTGACTGGCACTCCCCAGTGAAATAGCACTGACATTATGCACCCAGTGCACACTTGTGCCTCCACAGCGTGGGCAGCTCCTGACCATCATGAACACTGGCAGCTGTGCCTCCACTCTATATGTGAAAGGAAAACCATTGGATAATATTCAGTCAGCCTCCCTTCAAATGAGAAGGACACAAATTTTAAAAGCACTCTGTAAAAACACTGGAGTGGAATCAAACTCTACACAAAGCTCTACTAAACAGATGCTGGAATAGGGCAAAAAAGTGTGTTTGGTTGCAGTCCCACATGTAGAATAATTTCTGCTTTTAATAAGAGGTAAAAATAGTTATAGATGTTGAATTCTTGGCTTCTGTCAGCTGCATGAATATGTTTAATGAGATTGCATTGGCACAGGGAAGCTGGATACATTTTAAAGCTTCATGCTATGTGGATTGCTTGGAAGATGAATGCACTCATTTTCAAAGCTGCAACAATTAGAAAAATAATCCTTTGCTTGAGCTGAAGTAATGAAGGGTACTGTTTTCTAAGTTCTCCTGGATATTATGTGGATAAAAGTCACTTCTCAACAGCATGGCTACATCCCCCTTCACTAACAGAAATAGGAAAAATAGGAAAAGTGGTTTTATATACACCGGAAGCTGAAGACTGAGGGACAATACCAAAAAGAACAAAGACAAACCATGCAGATAAAGTGAATTCTCCTCTGAGTTCCTGAATGCATTTCAAAAATCAAAATGAGGCCTGTTGTGGGATACAATGAATCCACTTAGTAGGTTTTCTTGAGTATTAAGACACAGTCTTAACAATGAAATAACTGTTTGTTCCAGCAAAGGACTTGGTCCATACTTATCCATTGTGTATTTGCAAAACTTTTTTTTTTCCCCAAATCTCAGCCAAAAATATTTCCAAAGAGTCATTCAGATGGAAAGGCTTTGACTTGGCAAGTATTTGACATCCTTGCACACTATTTTTCCTTTGCTGTTGTGAACAGAACTGAAGTGCTTATTGCATTTCCATAGCAGGAAAGCTGCATTGGTAAAAACCTTTGTTTTTTACCTATGCAAGATGGGAGAGAGAGATCAGACAGAAAGCAAAAGGCTGATGCACCCCAGTCAGGGACATTGCAACTAAAGGCACATGGCAAGGGAGAACTAAACCTTTAGATTTTAAACTGTAAAATACTGAGATAATTCTACAGTCCACCATTGACAAGGTAATTGAAATATTAAAGGTGCATAGCGCACATTTCAGATGAAGGTGCTCTCAGTTTAAGCACTTTGCAGTGGGCAGGGGATGTGGGGCTGGGTCCAGGGTGGGGCTGGGCAGGACAATTCCTGCACACAGGGTCCTGATAATCCCATATGCACAAGTCACAAAACCCCTTAGATCTAAAGATTTCATTTATGACAAATAAAAGGATCCGAATTTCTGAAAGAGGCTCTTGCACCACTTCAGTTTGATCTCATCACTTAGTTTCAGGCTGGAAAGGAAATGCTCTCTTTTTTTTCTGCCAGAAATTTGAAGATGACATCTCCTACTGGACCAACCTGGGGCGTGCTCGTAATGAATACTACGGTGGGTACTACCAGCACCACTACGATGAAGATTCTCCAATTGGCCCACGAAACCCACACACCTTCAGGCACGGGGCAGGCGTCAACTATGACGATTACTAATGCCATTTACCCTGCTGCACTGGGCGAGGCTGAGCCCTCCCTCAGTCAGGATGACCCTGCTTTTTCTTCTATTCGTGTCAAACAGAAGGAGGAAAGGATCTGCCAGACTTTGATGAAAGCAACATGACTTTTTTTTAACTATCATTACTTAGTAGTACACTATATATAAAAAGTGTTATAGAAATAAAGCTTTTTTGATAATCAGGTTGCAAATATTTAGTAGACTTCATAACAGCAAGTCTAATTCCATCTGTATTACTACAGATTCTTTTTTAAAGGGCTTTTTGTCTTGCTGTCCCACAATCAATTGCAAAATTATATCATCTACTTTGGCATATAGAATACATAATATTAGTCAGTACATTTAAGATGTGCCTTCCCATTCACATTTCTATTAACAAATAAATCCAATTATTCTTGGGAGAAAAGAAAGAAAAGGTTTCCTGTCAATTGAAGTGCTGCTTTGTTGCCTCCTCTGCCGTTTCCACACCCACAGCGTGCAGCCCTCCAAGCCTGACACGGCACTTCTGCAGCTCCTGTTGGGTCAAGGACACAGATATTCACAAAGGTTAAATTCAGTGCAGACGAGCTTGCCTACCTGCAAAGCCTGTGAAAGGATCCTCCAGGGAACAGGCTCAAGGCAGGAACTTGACTTCAGCAGTAATTGCTGAGGCACAGAGCATCCAACCTGAGCCCAACCCCTCCCAGGCACAATAACCCAAAGGTTATCTTTGCTGAATACTCCCCTTTGTGTCCATTCCACTTAGCATCAAGCTTTCAGCCTAGCTCAAAATAGGGAATAAAACAACAAAGTAAGCTGTTTAAAATTAAGTTAGTGTCAGACAGCATCCAACACAATCCCCTGACATCATAATTTCCTACTGCAAAATTCCCTCTACCCCAGTTCTGACTGAAACATGCACATTAAGCTGAGCATCAAAATATATCAGAAACCAGGCATCTGTTAGTGAAACAGTGGATTAAAGAGGGAAGAGGGATTGTTGCTGGCATCATGTGTGTTAAGAATCCTGAAACACAACTAATTTTTGTATCACGGCAACATCAGCCTGGGAGGGAGATTTCAGCTGTCAGGGGCTTCAGGAGGAGCTGGGCAGAGGAAAGCACTGCTGGCACTTGACAAATGCAGAGGACTGGGAAGGGGCAGGTGAGGAAGGCTGGCTTCTCTGACTTCTGGAACTGAAGAATCAGGATAAAGAGAGATTAAATGTGTTCTACCAACTGTAGCAGTCAGAGAAGACAGCATGGATGCTTTAGCCGACTCTCATCTAAAGCTTACAAGAAATTTCCAAAGCATGTATGATGGCAGCACCATTTTTTATGCTTCACTACTTTCTTAACTCTGAGTGAATTTCCTAATTTTTGCTTAAAGCCCTTGTTGTGTGCTGAACTGGTGTCTAGGAGATGCAGCCCAGCACTATGCAGCTCGCTGCACAGATCCCTGCAGGAACACTTCCCAGGAGACAGCTCTTTGCTGAGGGAGCCAAAATGAACATGCTGGTCACTTCTCTGCACACACAGATCCACGCTGGCCTAACATGCTCCAAACCCTCAGCCTTCCCTAGGCTTAATCTCAGCAGAAGCCTTAAACCAGTTTAACTGGTTTAAACTGGTGTGTTTCCAGAATCCTTGCCAGTTTAACTGGTTTAAACTGGTGTGTTTTCTTGGTAGAAGAGTCTTTATTCCAAATACAGAATAATCACATTCTGAGTCCAGCACAGACTCTTTTGCACAGTTGCAAAACACCTATTCCTAGAAGAATACTTTCATTTTGTATATTATCCAAAAAGTGCACTGAATTTGGCAACATTTGAACCATGCTGGTAATTTCCATCATTTCCCAGAATTTACAATTGGGAATTCAGACCAGCTGAATAAGGAAGAATAAAAAAAGTGCTGTAAATAGAGACCATCCCTCCCTAGGCCTTTGTAAACTCTGTCCATTCCTGCAGGCTGACTCAGTCTAGCAGCTTTCTGTGCCTTGCAGGCTCACAACCAAATCTATGGTCTCTGTCTTCTGAATTCTCTAAGAGGAGAAAAAAAATCCTTTTCATTATATTGTGTTGCAGGGTTAAGGGGTGGGACAGAGCTAACTTGCTACATAACAACAGATATGATAACATGTTTTAGATTTGTGACTAAACCAGCGTAGGCAGAACACAAATGTTTTTGCTTTGGATGAGCAGTGCCTGCACAGCCTGTTTTCCACACAGACCCCCAGCAGGAAGGCTAGGAGTGGGTGAGAGACTGGGAGGGTACATGGGTGAGAGCTGACCCAAACTGGACAATTCCAAACGATGTAATGCTTGCTCAACACTAAATGCTGGGAAGAAGACGAAGAAGACGAAGAAGACGAAGAAGACGAAGACGAAGAAGACGAAGAAGAAGAAGAAGAAGAAGAAGAAGAAGAAGAAGAAGAAGAAGAAGAAGAAGAAGAAGAAGAAGACGAAGAAGAAGAAGAAGAAGAAGAAGAAGAAGAAGAAGAAGAGGAGGGGGGGTGTTTTGCCTTCCACAGAAGTTATTTCTCAGAGACTGGGTGAGCACCAGGCTTGCTTGGGAGAGATGGTGAGTGGCCTTTGCGTCACTTGGGTTTTCTTCTTTACTTCACTCATCAAACTGCTCTTACCTCAGCCCTCAAGAGTACTCATCTGATTGTCTAACTCTCTCCCACTGGGGCAGGAGGAGGGAGTGGCTGTGAGGGCACTTTGCTGATGGTCACTCACCACAAGGCAGTAGCTCTGAGGTGAGGGCACCCTCCTTGCAGAGGGGTGCACCTGCCTTGCAGTGCAGCAGTTGCAATGACAGACAGCAAGCAAGGATGAGCAATCAGGTTTGGGCAAAAGGAGGAAGATTACTGGGGGAAAAAAAAAATTCATCAGATATGCATGGAGTGCTTCAAAGTTTAATTTCCTTTGACTATTTCTGTCCCAAAGCATAGACAGAACTGTGCACCTTCTCTTAGCATTTCCATTCTGCTGTGCAGACAGCACAGAACACTTCACATCAGCATCTCTTTCAGCCATCTCAGCACTGACATAACATAACCTCTCCAGCAAGACAGAAGAGCAGCAATTGTTCATTGTGGCTCCTTTCAGAGCAGGAACAGCTTGGCCATGCTCCAGTGCTTCATGTTTCAAAGCCTGATGCTGCAACGTTCCTGAGTTTGTCCATGTTAGCCAGGCAGATCCATCACTCACAGGGCAGTGCTGCCTCCTTTGCTAGTAACACCTGTCAGAAAACCATTCTGCCAAAGAATGGAAGTATTATGGGAAGTATTATGGCTGTGCCTTTTTTCTTTTTTTTTTTTTTTCTTTTGAGGAGGAGGACAGGTCAATCATTCCCTTTAAGTTCCTACTTGTGACACAAACATGTTGGGGATGGGGGATTGACACTTCTATCCCAGAACTGTTTCCCAGGTGGAAGATGCAGCCTTTCTTGCTTAAAACAGCTTTCTCTATACTGAGGTCGACGGAGCCCAGATTGCTGTGCGTGGCTTTGACAGCACTTTAAGGCCTCTGTTCCCTGTGACTTTGTGCTTTGGACCTTCCAGCTGTTTCAGCTATGGTAGGGACCAGAGTATTCAGAGGATCCTGCTCCTTGCTGAAAAGCATGTCAGCATCTAGGGAAAACACTGCAAGAATAAACAAGCTGGTGCCTGTCCCAGGCTGTATATGGCAACAAACCAAGATGGATAGACTTGTCAGATCTGCTATTATGAAACAAGCAAGAGAAGGACTGAGACAAGGAACAGAGAACCAAAATCTGGGATTTTTTGCCAGAAATATGAATTGTTATTTTAGCAAAGCCTCCCTGTTGATACAGAATTGCATTCAGGAGCCTCCTGCCACACAGAAAGAGCCCTGTTTTGCTTCAGAACTATTGCTGCTCTTCATGGTAGCTCTATGGAGTCAAGAGCTGCAAATAAAGTATTCCCTTCTGCCACCTGAAATCCCCATACAGGGAAATGCTCACAACAGAGGAACTATGGCAGCTACATTCCCAGCAACTTCAGGGAAGGGATGTATGGTTGTTAGGGCTAGCAGTGTCGAGTATACAGTTCTCTCTCTGCTGTTAACAAAGCATCTTCTTCCTGTGGACCAGCCCCTAACAACCCTCAGAGACTTCCTGGCCTCAAGTAGCACTGAACTCAATACTAGCAAGGCTGGGGACTGGCTCAATCCATCAAACAAATCAAAGCCTTGTTTTGCCCTCTGTAGCCTGCTCTCTAAGGTAATTATGCCTCTTTCAGCTTTGAAACTCAATTCAAACCCTGGCAAAAAGTGAATATTTTTTTTTCCCAATATATTACATTTCTAAAAATTTATTGAAAAAATAGATTAAGACACATAAATACCCAGATGGCAGTGAACTCACTGGCTACTAAACCCACCAGTCTATATAGGTTAAGGGAAGCTGCAAACACAGAAACTACCAATCATTATTTCCCCATATAGCAAAAAGTTAGGCATGAGGCTTCTCTAGATTACATATTCATGGACTACTTAAAATAAATTAGGCCTGCAAGCAGCTCTGTGGCTTGTCTGTAGACTAGCAATGTGGCTGACAATGCTCCTTAGCAGCCTACATAGAGAAATAAAGGAGAAGTATATCATGCTTGAAATAAATAATAAAATCCAACTGTGGATCTCATGCTGTTGTAACCTCCAGCAGCAGGAGTGCATTGTGTATTTCCTACTGAGAGTGAGAACTTGCACCCAGCACCAGCTGAGCTGCCCATTTGTACAGTAAATTGTGAGTAAAAAAGCACCTCAAGTTTGGTCATGTTAGTTTTACCTTGTTTGCCTGACCAGATGACAGCAGAAAATTCCAATTCTCAACTTTTCTAACAGAAAAAAAAATCCTGAGAGGATCTCAGTTTCATTTACTCCCAAATCCCATATTTCCAAGACTTCAGTGCTGTATTCTACTACCCTCCATCAAAAGTGGCTCTTCCGAAGAAGCAGCAGCTCTTTCTTACCTGTAGCTCCCAGCACACTTGATGCCTCTTTCTCATGCTGATATATCTAACCCCAGACAGGAGCAGAGCACCAACATGCAAACCTCCATCTGCCTGTTTGAAGACTTAGTTCAGACCAGACAACTTCAAAGTACCCCAGACGTTCAGTCTCAAGCATCAGCAGACTCTTAACATGATTCATGCCTTTTGAATCAGCCCCACGTCACTGCTTTCAAACCTAAGGGCAACAGCTACCTCAGCTCCTCTTGCTGGAAGACACTATCAGAAAAGAAAATGGGAGCTGAATCAGGAACCTCTGAAACTAAAACCAGGAACAGCAGGAGGAAAGTAGCAAATAGGCAGTCCTGTGGTTCGGGCCCAGTGGGAGGCATCACACACACACTCACAGATGGGTTGTGCTGGTACCAGCC